ATCCTTACATGCTTGGTACAATGGCGGGAGGAGCTGCTGATTGCCAATTTTGGCATAGAAACTTGGGCATCAAGGTAACATACTTGTAAATTTTATTAATCTTCTTTCTGCTCCTTGTCTGTTTGCTTTGTGGGGAGGAACTATTTGATAATATAACCACTAACTGTGTTGCAGAAATGGATATATGCTGTACATGGTGCATCTTGGTCATTAGACTAAGCTAGGGCTATCAATGGATTAGATCATGATTTGGTCTTATCTAATTAGCCAGATACGGGTTCAAAAATTAAAAAACAAATACCATTACCCAATGTTGGTCCCAAAATTTATGCATTTATTTAATTGGATCAAAACCAGATTCCTTTGCAATCCTATCCATAAATTTGGTTCTATGTATATCCTATCTGAATCAACTTTTTGACAGCTATAGTTTATTATGGAGTTTGTAAGATGGGTGCCATGCATAAAAAACTTTCTATCCTAAAACCTATGCACCCTTTTCCATAAACATGCACCATCTCATCTAAATTATCAGGGTAATAAGTTAATAGTTTTTGTGGTTGAAATTAACTATAACGAAGTTGGAGCCAAGTTTTCATTACAACGTAGTTTAAATGAATTGAGATCAACGCATTAGCTATCTTGATTTGTTTTGGTTTAGCTTCTTTCTTTATCTAATTCTAATGTGCAACTTTATCATCTCCATTGGAAATATCAAAGAATCATACTGTGAATTCATATTATCTACTAGTTATAAGATCCAAAAGTGGGTAATTGATCAGATGGTTAGGAACATTCAACTTGTGTGTTTTTCGATCTAGATGCATGTTATTAGGTGTTTCACCAGTGCAAAAGTCCTGATCAATGTCATATCACCACGTTGCATCAGTGTAATTTTGGATGTTTTCAGGCAGTTGAAACTCACCCATGATTCATTACTTAGCAAGGTTCAAAGTATCAGTACAATATGCATGCCCCGTATCAGGCATATCATGTCATATTGTTGGCTTCTTGATACACCTGTTTACAGGTGTTTTGTGGAAATCATTTTTTTATTGATTAAATTATATAAAAGCATGTATAAAAATGAATTTTTGAAAAAAAACTAAAAAAAATAAAGCACATGGCCTAAAAAGTATCAATACACCCCTGCCAATACAGTAGCGCATAACGGTACTTTGAACCTTGGTTCCATGTCCATGTGGAGACCTAAGTTTTTAGTGCAAATTCCATTTCTGATGCCGTATCCATGCTGTGTCAGTGTGACACTGTGACTGAATTTTGAAGTAAAAAATGAGAGAGACTTTGAATCCTATCTAACAGATTTTTGAAATTCTTAAAGAATCTTGGAGTCACATCAGGCATGGATACTGACATGATACTTGAATTCTTATTGTCTGTTATATGCAGCTAAAACTTTCTGGTTCCTAGGATAACATTGGCAATGAATTGAGTTTGTGATACTTGATAAACATAACATAATTTGCCATAATTTTTTTTTAATTAAACAGTGTTGTATTCATAAGTAGTGTGTCTTTTATAGCAGCAATCTGCAATATTCCATTCTTTTAGTGGTTATCTGCAACTGTTTGGAGTAAAATCAGATGTATCTGTTTTGCTTTTTGATAATTGAGATCTTGTAGTTGGGAACCAGCAACTGCGAACTGGTGATCCTCAACATCCTAAACTTGCACCAGATGTCCATATATTTTCTCTAGCAATTACTTTATTCAATGCTTTAAATTATATATGTTACAGAGTGCTATAAAAAGCAATGAACTAGCTCATGGATCTTTATACTCTGTTTTTCGGATGAATAAGATTGTTCTGCACCAAGTTTTCTAGCATTAAAGATTTTTGTGTTTCAACTTTTGCTTTTAGTGCCGATTGCATGAGCTGGCAAACAAGAGAAGGATTTCAGTCACAGGGGCTTCAAAGCTGTTGACGAACATTCTGTACTCATATCGTGGAATGGGTCTGTCTGTTGGGACCATGATTGCTGGATGGGATGAGACGGTAATAATCTTATTCATCCATGATATCATGTTTTTATCCAATTTGGCTCTTTTAAACTGTTACCTTCTATTTCCTTTTAGGGTCCTGGATTGTATTATGTGGACAGCGAAGGGGGAAGACTTAAAGGAACACGATTTTCAGTTGGATCTGGTTCGCCATATGCTTATGGTGTATTGGATAATGGGTATGCCTTTTGTTCATATTGATCCATTGGTTGTTTGCTTTATTGTAAGTTTGATATATCTCATTTTTCTTGTAATTTTATTCTTGTTAAACAGATACCGTTATGATATGTCAGTAGAAGAAGCTGCTGAATTGGCTCGCCGAGCTATTTATCACGCAACGTTCCGAGATGGAGCTAGTGGTGGAGTTGCCAGTGGTATGCTCTCTCTCTCTCTCTCTCTCTTTTGTGTGTGTGTTACCTGCATGTGTGCACTTACTGGGAAGTTCAACTTTCTTTTTCCCCTTTAATCAGTTTATTATGTGGGACCGAATGGATGGAAGAAGCTATCTGGTGATGATGTTGGGGAACTCCACTTTAAATACTATCCAGTCACCCCAGGCACCGTGGAACAGGAAATGAGCGAGGTGACTGGTGCTTGAACAGGTTTGCCAGTGGATATCTTTTTTTTCTTTTTTCCGGTAATGCCAGTGGAGATCTCAGTCAAAGAATCTTTTGCTGGAAATATTTGGTAAAAAGGTGTATGGATTCTCTTATTTTCTTTCAAGAGAAGAACTCGATAGTCCATCTGGGTGTTCTATTTAACTATTCCCAGAGACCTGAGATTTCAGTAAACGCTCATAGTTTGCTTTTCGTTATCAATGAATTCGATCTCTGTTAACTTATTTGCCGTTCAATGCGTTGTCTTCTGTATTATACTAGCGGGTAGGGGTGTCCATGAAAAGCCGACAAATCTAACCTAACCGAGAAAGCCGAACCGCAAAATGCGGTTAACCAAACTGATCGGTTCGGTTTTGGTTTGAAATTTTTGAAAAACCAAAGGATAGGTTCGGTTTTTTGCTTAACTTACAAAAAAGCTAATGGTTAATCGAATCGACCGATCATATTTTCTATATATTATATATAAATATATATTTATATTATATTTATAATATAATATTATATATATTTATATAATATATATTATAAATATAAAAAACTGAAGAACTGAACTGGTCAAAAATCGAACCTGGCAGACCGGTTAACTGGTGGTACCAGTTTGGTTTGGGTTTGGAGAAATGGAAAAACTGATAGCACTGGTTTGGTTTGCAAAAATTGCCCATGGCTCGGTTAACCAAACTATGGACACCCCTGCTAGCGGGGACCCCTGCAATGCACAGGTTTTGTTGAGTGAACTAATATCATTATAGGCAAGGATTATTATGTTTAAATTATATAATTTCTAATTTATATGAAAACACAAATGTATTTTAAATACAATATGAACTAATTATATTTATTTCTTGAAGATTATTGATAATTAATACATACTTTCAAAAAGTAATTTTAATGGTTATATTTTTTTATTTTTGGTAATTTATCATATTTATTGAAAATCATGTTAACCTATTTTTGGTAATTATGACAAAATTATTGGTACTTTATTTTTTATTATTTTCTTGACTAATTTTTGGTCATTAAATGTAATTTTCTGCTCTTACATTTCAAAGTGCCTTCTTCATCTACTTCAATTATGAAAATTATATCTTTGAATCATCTTCAAGCATTGATTTTTTCGAATTGTTTATTTTCAAGGTTAAATTGGATAGTAGAAACCTAATTTAATTTGGAAGGAATACAAATACATTGTAGAGTGTATAACATTGTATTTTGTATTATTTTGTATGTATTCATATTGTACATATTTATATTTATACTCTTTCCGAACTGAGCCCAAGCAAATAAAAGGCATAGAAATACCATATACAAGGTTTTGCACCCCACGTATTTATTTTTGCACTTTTCCTAACGTATTTATATTTGCACTTTTCCTATACTGAGCCTCAATTGATTTTAGTGCGACATTGCACGCTACAATGTCAAAATTTGAAGCTTGTAACCATCATTTTCTTTCTATATACTCCATCTATTAATTGAAGGCATCGGTTGGACTCTGCCCAACTATCTATACTTAACGCTCAAGTAATCGGATTCGGGTCTACACCCAATACAGGGCCCACCGGTAAATGAATCATCATAGTGGGTCTAAGTGGAATAAACCTTGAAACAAGGCTCAGCCCAATCTTAATTCATTCCTAATGGGCTGATCTGATGTTCGTTGGACTTTGGGAGCCCAAGCTCATCGGATAGAAGGATTTGCTATAACTGCTGCTTTTTCACAGCCAGTCCAGAGACTCCAGACCGCTCAATCTGATCCGGATCAACGGCAATATTCCACATTGCACAATGTAGAAAAATAGGCGGGGTCGCATTGGAAACCCCCTACTTGACCCGCTCAGAAAACTCTTTTCGATGTGGGGAGTACCCACGCGACCATGTTCAGTCCAATTCAAACCCACCCATTCCCCACAATGTAATAGAAGGGGGGTCATTTCAGTATCTTAATATAACACTGAGCTAAACAATGGGCCATTTTGAACAAGTGTTAGGCTTCTAGACTCAAATTTGACTCGCTGGTAGAGATTGATGAGAGGGAACATATCACATATGAGGTCCCCTCACCTCTGTTTGCAGTGCAAATCTGAACCTGATACAAAATTTGAACCCAGTTCAGTTTTGCATACATTTCTTTGCACACATAATATGCACAATACCTGTTGCAAAATTTGTACTTTTTGCCTCGTGTGCATTCACTGGCAATACAAATTTTGCATCTCAAAAACATGCAAATTTTGCACCACCTTCCTTTCATCTTACTTCCTACCTCACTTCCAAATAAACAACCCCCTCGGTATCTCCATTCTCTTTCATATAGAGTGGATATCACTTTTTACTTCTCACAAAAAAACAAGTCGTTCAAATATGAAGCAAAAGTAAACCAGAAATTTTACTCAGCCCAATTTGTAATCCCATACATTTACACCAGTGCAAATGAAACCCATACTGTAAACAAACTGACCCTTCAGGAACCTGGGCCCAAAACCAAGTTCCCATGTGAAAAATTCCTTGGTTATCCAGCCAGATTCGGATCCAACTAGAAAACCCCAATAAACTTAACCGACACACATAAACACTGTTTAAGCCCACCCACCTCAGCTCAGTATGTCTGCTAGACAAGCCAAGGCAAACTCACAAGCAACACAATATATAAATTGCTGAATTGACAATCCTTAGGGAGGAAATCGATTCTAGCAATAACAGTTCCATATGGGATCATGCTGAATTGGCATTTGCCACCCAATTATAGAATATAAAAATTAGATAAAACACAGCCAGTCATTTTAACTGGAAATGTTCAATGCCTACTGCTTGATCCAGAACACACTACCAACAACTTTGCACACCTTTAAGATGAAGACTCTTCGTCATGGTTGGACACCCAAAATTAAATTTTGATTTCTAGTCATCTTTTAGTTCTACCAATGCAGTCAAGCTTTAGCCGCCTCAGCATCTGTTGCAACAGGTTCTCCTTCCTTTTTACTTTCTTCTTCCTCTTCTTTTGCTTCGATCTCTTCTGCAAATTTACAATGAAGTTCGCTTATGACAAGGCAAAGACAACAAAAGTAATAGAACATTGGTATGATCAACATAGCAATCTAATGACTAAAGGATGATCAACATTACAAGAATATGGAAGCTTCTGTAAGGTCCAGCCACTAAGTGATGCATTATGAAGTTTCAATATCTATAACATATGGAAAAGAGAAGAATTTCATGGAAAGATACAGTGTTGTAAACAAGTCCTAACCTTCCTCGTCTTTGGGTTCATCCATATCATAATCATCCCCACCCATGTCTAACTTCTGCACAATGTTCATCTTGGTCAGCAAAACTCAGCCACTTGAACCTATTACATATAATGCTCAAGCAGCCTCATAAATTCAATTTTTATAGTGGATCTTCTATTTAGCTCTTCCTTGAACCCTGCATTTGGTCTATCAGTCTCATTTCTCCAAAGGAAGTCTGTGGAAAACCTCCTTCTAGAGCAGTCAAAAGCAGAGGAATTTCAATGGATCACTGCCAATATCAACCAGCATGCACCTGGAATGGAAACCATCTCAAGCCATCCAGAGATGAACAAGAGGACAACCCCATCCCAGTACAACTGCTAATGTGAATGTCATGCACAACCTAAATGCTAGAACTGGTGCTTACTGCTGAAAGAAATACAGGTTATCTCAGACACATCTTAAGTCCAAAAACTTGGTCTGAATTTCAATTTCCAGCAACAGATTCTGACACTAACATAAATATATCGAGCAACATAGCCTATATTGCACTTACGAAATCTAATAAGATGAATTCTTAAGGACTTCTTCATATGCAAGATGGTCTATGTTGCACATTAGAAATTAATTGAAAAAGGAAATTCTTCAACAGGATATATTGCACTCATGAGTATGTTTGCAAGTTTTCAACTCTCTGACTTACTGAGAAATCCATGTCATCGAAGTCCATGCCAGCTTTCTCTGTTACAAACAGAAAAAAAAACAAATATCTATGTTATCAAGGGAATTTGAGGTATACAAGTATAGGGATACTATAAAAACCTAAAACTTCATAACCTACCATTCTCATCCTCCTCATCAACCCATTTATCCCAATCCACCTTGAGAAATACAGGTGGTTTCCCCTCTTGCTTAAGTAGCCTGCCCCACCATTTCTTCTCAGCTTTCTCTATGACATAGACAATGCTCCTCACACCAATACTAACCTTGCTCTCCTGTAACCACAGCAATGGTGATTACTCTATTTTCATTTATATATGAAGCTCAATTAGCAAGCTGCCAATACCTCAACGTTGACTTTGTCATGCAGATCAATGTCAACTTCGTAAGGGAGATTGTCTTTGGTGGCAGAGAAAATGAATTTCCCTTCAGGCTCGAGCTTCAGTTTCACATCCTTGGCATCAGGTAAATCAACCGTCAAGTAGATCTTATCTGACCGCTGAGCCCACTTCAAAGTTGGGTGTCGGCTGAAACAATAAAAGGCAAGTTCCTTTAATGAGTAATCCTTAGTTGCTTAGATTCTTTATCTTTTTTTTTTTTATTGTATGCTTAGATTTTTGATCTCACATAATGGTTTCATACATATAAATGATATAAAAAGTTGGTTTTGATTTTCCTTTTCTCCTCTTCTTTAAATTTGATTTCCTTAATAGATTTCACAAGCACTCCATTTATCATTAACAACTTCCTCATACGTCAGAGCTAAAGGACCCCCACCCATGGAAAGTTCATGAGTGAATGACAGTAGCATAAATGTCAAATCCAGAACTTCCATTTTTAAGACTGTTTGAAGCTTTTATGTTTAACTTTTCTTATATTTTTCCAAAGCTCATATGTTCATCCACTGTGATTCAATCTACTCCATGGATGAGCAAGCACTCCCCTGGAAAAACAAAGAAAATTTGAGGAAAAAAATAGGAAATCACCCGAAACAAACCATGGGTTTTTGTCGTGAATAAAAATTTTAAATTTGACTTGCTTATGAATGTTATAATGAAGACATGTTAGATACTCTGTTTTTCAGAGAAATAAATGCTTCACCACAGAGACAACAAAAGAGGGGATTTCAAAACTGAATCAAAAGTATGCTATCCAACCCATACTGATCTTCCCATATTGTCATAACTAGAATCCCCTACTGATCAACTACAGAAACAAAGAAGAACACAAATATCTACAAGAATAGTAAGCAAGATTTAACCAATACCCATGTCAAGAAATCCGTAATGAAAATCAAATCAGAAACCAGGGAAAATATTTCTTAAAACTTGTACAAGAAAGAAACAGAGCTCCACCTATAAAAGTTCGGGAATCTAAAGTATATATAACCAAGAAATATCATTTTAACAAATTAACTTGTACCCATGTTTTTTTATGGTAAAAAACTTGTACCCGTGTTAAAAACCAGGAAAGTAAAAAGAAAAACAACATAAAGCATGTAAAGGAAGCAGAGGAGCAACTTCAAATCAAGATAATATCTATTATTCTTATATTTCCAGATAGAAATTGGATCCCATTGTCCAGTGCTTGAAAAATAAGAAAAAGAAAAAACGAGAAAGAAAAACAGAACGTCAGAACCCACATTCAAAACCAAAAAGACAAACATAAACTACAGGAGGTAAACAGAGGAACAACCTTCAAATCAAGACAACAGCTTTTTCTTTTCTTTTGTTGGTTAGAACTTAGAACCCACTATGCGAAGCTAGGAAATAAAGATAAAAGAAGAGCAATAAGGAAAAATGGAAGCCTGTGACCAGAGATCCAGCCAGAGCTTACCTCATATCTGAACTTGGAGAAAAATCAGTTGCAGAGAGAAAGAAATATAATGTTGTTTTTATAGGACAGATAGACTCTTCCAATAGAAGTGCCAAACGAAGAGAGCAACAGAACAGACTTGCTGGACACAGGGGGGAGAGACCTTTAAATTCTTTGCTTCGTATGCAGACTCCACGGGAGCGGGGAATGAGCTGGAATGTTCCAGAAAACACCAAGCTTTTTCAAATGGGTGTTTCAACAGCGGCTGTTATAACGATAAATAACGGCGTTATTCACACAAAGCCATACCCTGTTATCTCTTCTGCCGTGCAGGAGGAGATCTTCAACATCAAGGGATATGTTTGGGAAATTTCGACCTTTCGGGACCCTTAGGAGTTTGGACGTCATGAAGTCTAAGGTATCGAAAATATCACAAGTGTATTCGAAAGGTAACTGGAATACGCATGTGTATATGTATATATATATAAATATATTATTTTAATGATTTTATGAAGAAATATTTTATAGTTAATTATAATTTTATTAAAAATTATATGCTTAATTATAATTTTTAATTTTTAAGCTTTAATGTTTTATGGGATGGGAAAAACCCAACTCTCCTATCCAATCATAAAATATGTATTGGCACAACTTTTAAGTGAAAATATAATTAATAATTATTTATTATTTATTTCTAAAAATTATCAAAAATAAATAAATATTATATAATAATTTCAATTGCTTTATGGATATATGATAGATCATCCATAGTATTATAATATATTCAATCACTGTGATCAAATGATAAAATATAATTAATTATTTATTTATTTTTTAATTCTAAAAATATAAAAATATAAAAAATAATTATTAAAGAATAAATTTCAATTGGTTTGTGGGTATGATACATTATCCATAGAATTATAATATATTCAATTATTGTGATCAAATGATAAAATATAATTTTTTATTTTTTAATTCAAAAAATATAAAAAATAAAAAATATATATATTAAAGAAGAAATTCCAATTCATCTATGGATATAATAGATAAACCCATAGATGTAAACATATTTAGTCTTTATAGGCAAAGAAAAAAAATACATTTTCAAATTTTTGTTAATGTATATTTTCCCAAATATCTTCATGAAATTTCCATAAATCTACTAATAACACAAAAAAAAAAATTGTGATTTTGAATGTAAGAACTCTAGATCAACATAAATTTAAACTTTCAAGAAAAAAGAAATCACAAGATATTATAAAAATTTTAAAAAAAATTACCTATTTCTGCCATATTTTTTCAAAATTTGAAAAATCTTCAAAAAAAGTAATGATTCACACTTGTTTCTTGCAAATTTTTGCAAATCTAACTCTAGGAATGAGGTCTGGAGTTTTAGAGACATTTGGGGGTGAGAAGGCTTATTTCAGGGGAAAAAAAGTTTGCTTTCTCCCTTTATTTTTTTTAGTTTTTGGCTGCATCTTTTTTGTTGATATGCCCCAATACACCCTCGATACGCCCCGATATGGGTCTGATACACATGAAAAAAGATGAGACCCCCGATTTTCATGTGTATCCCATATATATTTTTCAAATATATGATACGATATGAAATTTTAAACCTGTTAAAATCTCAGCATTGTCAAACAAGTCGGACACAAACTCAAACCAGAGTCATCGAACAAAAACTAGGGGTGCAAGTCTGGTAGGTTGATCCGAGTTTATGGTCAACTCGGGCCTGACCCTAAAATTTGGGATTAAGGCCTGAGATCAAGGACAAGCCCGATCTTCCCAACCCGAGCGCAGCCCACATTGTAATTTGATGCACTCGAGTTGGGTTCGGGCTCGGGTTGGTCAATGAACCCACTCTACCTAAGGGTTAAACCCAGACCTGGCCCAAAAAATAAAAAGCCCAACCGAAGACCAAAAATCCAAGCCCAACCCATGTAAAATTTAGGGTTGGGCCCACCCAAATTGCACCCCTAACAAAAACTAGAGGTACAATTATGCAACTTGGGTCGAACCAACCGAACTCAGACTGATCAAGCTCACAACTTTATATGGTGGCCCTCGAGCTGAGCCTAAGTCCAAAAATTCGGGTTTTTATATTTTCTTTAGCCAGGTTCAAGCTAAACCCTGTAGTCCAAACCCAATCCAAACTCTCTCTGATTGACCAATCCGAGTCCAACCTGAATGCATCAAATTTTAATGTGGATTGGGCCTAGGTTGAGCTCAAACCCAGACCAACCCACCCAACTTGCACTCCTAACAAAAACCAAGAACCATCAATACTGAGTCCAGCTGTCAATAATCTACCTAATAAACCGAACCAATCAACCGATTCTATTGGTTTGTTTTATGTCCCTAGGAGCGGATTTTGCTATTCCAAACTGATTAAAACCAAAACCAATAATATAATAAACAATATACAAAGGTTTATGGTTTTTTTATAATTTTTGTTATATTAATTTTATGTCTAAGGTAATTTCATAGACAATACAAATGATAATATTGGTTAATAACACTTTTTTATCAAACATGCATAAACGGTTATCATTCATTTTCATTTTTATTACGGAGAAGTACAGACAGGCCCAATGTAGATTTCTAATTTTCACTACAAAAGGTATAAACATTCTGATGAGGGGTGATTTGGCCCAACCTAATAAACAGAGGACATGTGGATGTAGCCCATCAACTGGACGATGATTCAACACCACGGTCACCTCAGCAAGTTTAGTTACTTCGGAATTCCAGCCCCTCGGATGGCATTGAACTCCGGGCACCTCGATGGCACCAAGCTCTAGGCACCTCGGATGACTGAGGCTAATCAATTAGCGCGGTTCCCGCCTTCCCGAGCAAAACGGACCCCTACGGCTCGGGCCAAAGACCCCGGGAACGTTTCGTAAGACCCATGACAACCCAGCTATATAAGGGCATCAACCCCCAAGACTCAAGTACGCGCGATTACTTGCTCATTAACTTACTTGCATTCAAACTTTCAGCTCACAATCAGAGTGCAATACTAACTTAAGCATCAGAGCGACCACACCGGGTTAGCCACCCCGGGTTCTCTAATCCATTGTCTTGCAGCTCGGTTTAGCTCGCTACGCTACTAATATCCAGGTGATCTTCCAGCTAGGAGCTTTCAGATCGCGCACCATCAATTGGCGTCGTCTATGGGATCCAATCAAAAGGTCAACATTACACCTCATTCGTTACCTTACTCCCTCTCTCAATGGTATCTCCAAGTAACACCAGCAAGGGCATCGACATGAGTGTCACTGGGGGACAGGACCACCCAGCATCACTCCCTCAAGGCCCTTCAGTGACTATCGGGCAATTCACCATCCCCCTCACTACCTCAGGGGTCCCCACTGTGTCGATGCAATAGACGAGTCAGCAAATAAACGTCCCGCTACCCCAGGTAAACACCGCTTTCTCGGAACCCTCGGTGATTCCTCTCGCAGTCGAGCGTCACCAATTCGATGATCTATTTCAGAGTGTTAGAACCATACAGATTCAGATGCAGCAGATGCATCAGTTCCAACAACTTCAACAGTACTAGCAGTAGTTTCCACCACTGCAACCGAACCAGCAACCAGGTTAGTACCAGAATCAGATCCAGAACCAACGCTTGCACCACCAACAGCCTCATCAAAGCGTTCGCATATCTCCCCATTGGGGTGAGGGAAACTCACAGGTTCCGGTCCTTCCCAGGGGTCAGACCCCACCTCGGGGTAGGACCGACGGCCAACACACCACCCAGTTTCTCAAAGGGGGAACCCAAAGGATAGGCCCGAGGTCAGCCAACATGAAAGGATCAGTCAGCAACAACACTCACGGCTTGAGAATCGCGAATCGCACCTCGACGATCACCAGCTTGGGGCCCGAGGTGCGGGCTCGAGACAAGACCCCTCGGCACCCCGCAACAGCCAACACCAGTCTTGCGACCAAGAAGAAGCAGGAGGAAGGAACCCTGATCCACCTCGCAACAGTGTTCGGGGGCGAGAGCGAACCAGAATTGAAGTACTCAATCATACCAAAGCCAGCTGCACTCAAACCACCAGACCGACTGAAGCCAAATCCACCTCAGCTCAACGTGAACTCCTCGCACCGGGTCCTGACCCTCGTGCGAGGAGTGGGGGGCAATTGATGAGGGGTGATTTGGCCCGATCTGATAAACAGAGGACACGTGGATGTAGACCACCAGCTGGACGATGACTCAGCACCACGGTCACCTCGGCAAGTTTAGTTACTTTGAAATCCCAACCACCTCGGATGGCACCAAACTCCAGGCACCTCGATGGCACCGAGCTCCAGGCACCTTGGATGACTAAGGCTAATCAAGCGACATGTAGCAGATCTCTAGGAGCTTGTCATCTATCTCCAAACCTTTCGGGATCATGTCGTGTAACCGTTCGGCTTAACTTCATCCCATCCGAATCGGAGGGAAACGGTAACCCCTATCAATTAGCGCGGTTCCCGCCTTCCCGAACGACACGGACCCCTACGGCTCAAGCCGAAGACCCCGGGAACATTTCATGAGACCCACGGCATCCCAACTATATAAGGGCATCAACCCCCAAGACTCAGGTACGCGCGATTACTTGCTCACTAGCTTACTTGCATTCAAACTTTCAGCTCACAATCAGAGTACAATACTAACTTAAGCATCGGAGCGACCTCGTCGGGTTATTCACCCTGGGTTCTCTGATCCTTTGTCTTGCAACTCAGTCCAACTCGCTACGCGACTAGTATCCAGGTAATCTTCCAGCTAGGAGCTTCTAGATCGCGCACCATCACATTCAAAAGGTCAAAAACTCACACTTTATGCACCTATACTCGCCCGTGAATTGGCATCAATTCCGAGCTGGCATCTATCCCAAATGTACTTTGAGCCAACAAATTCTGACCCTGGGCTGAACCGTCATTCTCCCTTTTTACTAAGGGTATATTATGAAGGGAAAATTTCTTAAACTACCCCTAAAGTTTAGGAAATTGACTAACTCTACCTCTACTGTTTTTGTATTGTCTTAAAATACCCCTACTATTTTTGACAATTGTCATTAACGTCCTTTAACGGAAAAATTAAAAAAAAATACTATTTTATCCATTATTCTCTTTCAAATTTTAAAAATAAAATAACAACAGTAATCCCAATAGACCTTCACTTCACTCCGACTCACTCTTCAACAGAGTTACACTTGAAGACCGGTGAGA